CCACGTGTATGAGGAGAACGTCAGGAACAGCGAGGCTGTTCTTCGAAGGTAACGAGCTGCTTTTGTGCTGCTTTGGAAGCGTTTGCTGCTCGGGAGGCGCTGGGAGAGACACACACACACACGGGTTCTTTTAGGAGCTGCTTGGCACAAGGATGCTAACCCAAAAAGCCCAAAGATTACCCAAAAAATATTAAAATGTCTTTATTTACTTACTCAGCATTTTGAAACTTGCAGTTTCCTGGCAGCTCAGTTCTCAGGCAGCTTCCCTGCACAGTGGGTTTTGCACAGATCAGCCCTTACAGGTTTCAGCCCCCCTCAACAAGATGTGCTGAAGTGCTGGCTGAAAAGCCTAAATCTGGGTGCAGGCTGCGTTAAAAATAGTGTGACACTGGTTTTTGCATGCATTGCCCAGAAGAAAATAGACCCTCATGAAATCTGGCTCGTGTGTGGTTTTGTAGGCAGAGGCATAAGTGGTGACTCACACATTAACAGATCCCCCCTGAAGGAGCAGCTGACACTTCCTGCAATTAATAGTTGCTCACTGATAAAAGCAGGAAAATGTATTTTATGTGTTTGTCCTTAAAGACCGGATGGCAAAAAAAAAAATCAAAGGCCTTTGTTGAGGGGAATGGTACATGGGCTGGAAGCAAAGCTGTGGAGAACACACTGTGCCCTCCTGTGGTGGCATTTGCAGCGTTATTAAAAATCCTTAGCTCTTCCCTCCCGAGGTTTTTCAGTCTGTGCAGTCTGCAGGAAGCCACAACGAGGTGCAGGAGTCATGCACAGAAATGGTGCTTGCACGCTTAGCTCATGCAATTGGGCTGAAAAATATTTTAAATGAATGAAGAGTGTGGTTTACTCAAGACCAAAATTATTTGAGGTGCCACGTTTGTCTGCAGTTGATTGGATTCTTGACCTGTATTGGCTGCTGCCCTGACCATGACGTTGGGAATCACTTCCTCTCTGGATGGCTGCAGTGACTCTGCATTATTCCCTGCTCTTAATGCATCTCTGCTGTGCTGCAATGTCTCTTGCACATTTAGTGATGTGTTCTCCCCACCAGTTACTGATTTTTGTCAGATAAACTTGTTGAGGGGGACTGAAGGAGGAAGCCTTTGACTGGATTCTCCCCTAGAGGAGCTGGAACATGGAGATAAAGGTCCATGCTGGCTCCATGGGACAGCAGTGTGCCCTCGTGGCCAAGAGAGCCAGGAGTATCCTGGGGTGCACTGAGAAGAATGTGGCCAACAGGTCAAGGGAGGTTCTCCTCCCCCTCTACTCTGCCCTGGTAAGACCACATCTGTTGTGTCCAGTTCTGGGCTCTCCAGATCCAGAGGGACAGGGATATGCTGGGAAGAGTCCAACAGGGGTGACAAGGATGATGAAGGGACTGGAACACCTGTCATATGTGGAAAGGCTGAGAGACCTTGGGCTGTTTAGTCTGGAGGAGAGAAGGCTGAGAGGGGACCTGATGAATGTCTGTAAATATCTGCAGGGGAGTGTCAATAATGGGCCAGTCTCTGTTCAGTGGTGCCTGTGAGAGGACGAGGGGAAATGGCAGCAAGTGACAACACAGGAAGTTCCACCTCAACATGAGGAGAAACCTCTTTATTGGCAGGGTGACAGAGCCCTGGGACAGGCTGCCCAGGGAGGGGTGGAGTCTCCTTCTCTGGAGACATTCCAAGCCCGTCTGGATGTGTTCCCGGTGATCCTGCTCCAGCAGGGGGTTGGGCTGGATGATCTCTAGAGGCCCCTTCCTGCCCTGGTGACTCTCTGAAAATGTGAATTCCTCTTCACTCACATACCTTTCCTATGACAACTCTGCAATGTGGTTAAGCACCGTGTTCAGTCAGCCAAAGGATAACCTGCAGGTAAAGGTGGCTTTCATTAACCAAAACCTGGCTTGTTTTTTTTAACCTCAGATACTCAGAACTGCTAGAGAGAGTCAGTAAAGGAGGGGGAGAAAATGCCATCTTGCGTCACACTCAGAGGAACAAGAAGCTGTTTGTCCGTGAGCGCCTGAAGTTGCTGCTGGATGATGAGTCTTTCCTTGAGCTGTCTCCCCTGGCAGGCCTTGACATGCCCTATGGGGATGTCCCTGCTGCTGGCTGCCTCACTGGTAATGGCTGGAAAATGCCCTGGGAAGTGGGGGGAGTTGATCTGTTTCATTGCTCATCTCTTCAAATAGGATCCGCATTAGATCTCAAGATGGGTTTATGGGCTGAGGGGGTTGTTTTGAGCTGCCCCTGTTGGAGACACAGCCCCAAAGGAAGGAGGGCTTTGAACCAGCATGGTCCTTTAATATAGTTTGGGAGATGCTGTTTGGGTGCAGTGGTAAGTGGTTGTAGGTGGTGTACATCAGTTGTAGTCCATAACGGCTGCACAGCTTCCCAGGGTACCCAGCCCTGCTCACTGAGGGTGAGCTGTGGGATCCTGCTGGGAAAGGAAAACAGATGCATGTACATCAGGTTTATGGAATATTTTAGTATCTTAAGAGTGAGCTTTCCTTGGAAGAGTGAAGGCTCTGGGGAGACCTTAAAGGACCTTCCAGTGCCTAAAGGGGCTCCAGGAAAATTGGTGAGAGACTTTTAACAGGGGCAGGGAGGGATGGGATGGGGGGCACTTGTTTCAAGCCCTAAGAGGGGAGATTGAGATGAGATGTGAGGGAGAAATTCTGTGCTGTGAGGGTGGTGAGACCCTGGCCCAGGTTGCCCAGGGAAGCTGTGGTTGCCCCATCCCTGGCGGTGTTGAAGGGCAGGTTGGATGGGGCTTGGAGCAGCCTGGGCTGCTGGGAGGTGTCCCTGCCCATGGCAGGGTTGGGACTGGATGAGCTTTAAGGTCCCTTCACACCCAAACAACTCTGTGATTCTAGGATTCCGTCCCTGTGTGGTACTAACAACTCCATTTGCAGCTGCCTGATACAGCATCGCCAAAGTACCATCCCAGCTGTAATTTGGTCCGTTGATTCATCTGTGGAACTGTATAGAGTCCTGATGAGTATCTGATACCACCTGCAGGAATTGGCAAGATCTGTGGGATCTGGTGTGTCTTGGTGGCAAGTGATGCAACTGTGAAAGGAGGAACTGTGTATCCAATTGGAGTGAAGAAGCAACTGAGAGCTCAAGAAATAGCCATGCAGAACAGGCTGGTGTCTGTGTACCTCACTGACAGTGGGGGGGCATTCCTACCACTACAGGTAATCCTGGAATCACTTCATAGAAGGAAGCACCTATGTCTGTCTTAATCATACTAATTTTTAGCAATAAACCTCAGATTTATGTTGTGTTTTCTTGGCTGGCTGACTTTGGTTGTCTGTTATACTTAAACTGAGTTTTCTCCAGAAATCAGATTTGAAGATTCCTCACAGTGATGATCACTTTGGCTGATCTTGAGTCTAGCACCTAGCCAGAGTTTAGCAACTTGAGTATCAGAGGGGGGCAAAGTGCTGGCCAAGCAGGGCTATTTCCCAGTGTGCTGAAATGCTTTCTTGTCTTTAATAAATTAGCACATTGTTTGTGGGTTTTATTTTCTATTTCAGAATCTATAGAATGACTCCCTATTTTATCACAATGTTTGTGATGGTAATGCAGCAACCTCCATGGCCTTTAAAAATGTAGGTTTCAAAATTCTTTCTGTAAAAGGAGAGTTTGCACAGCTTGCTTCTGCTTTTGAAACACGTGGGTATTTCTGTGCAATTGCACAATGTGTAAGGCACTAAGTGCTGTGGGAATGCTGCAGGTGAAGGTTGGGGGCTGATTGTTAGTGGGGAGCTGCCACAAGTCAGTTACCATGTGAATGATGGTGCCAAGAGGGACTTTGGCTTTGGTACTTAGTATTGAAACTCAGGTTGTCTTTTCTCTGTCATGTCAGGCCGAGATGTTTCCTGACAAGCTGCACGGTGGCAGGATGTTCTACAATGAAGCCATCATGTCTGCCATGAGGATCCCTCAGGTACCGTGTCCTGGGGAGCACAAGTGTGGTCTGTGTGGTCAGTAGCATTGGGAAGAAAGTTTCCTTCTCAAATAGATTCTAGGAATAACTCCCAAACGTGCCATCTCATTTCTAAAGCTCACCTGCCCTGCTCTTGGGGAAGGGATGTTCAGATAGTAGCTCACCTGACAGTGCTTCAGCCTTAAGGGTCTTCTGAGTGTTTCTCAATGGGTGGTGGTGGAAAAGCATCAAATCACCAGGTTATTTTAGAGTAAACCCTGAGCTCTGTTCCTGCTGGTATTTCTGTCTCCATCCCATTGTTCCCCAAGTGGTGATTTAGTCTCTTGAGTGTTTCTGAGATGAAAGTGGTGGCTTTGCCTTCCCACCCTCCCCTCTCCAGCAGCTTTGTTTTGGTTGCTGTCCTTCAGGTGGCAGTGGTGTGCGGCTCCTGTGTGGCCGGGGGTGCCTACATTCCAACCATGGCAGAGGAAAACGTGATGGTGGATAAGATCGGGACACTCTTCCTTGCTGGCCCACCTCTGGTCAAAGCTGCTACAGGTGAACAGGTCTCTCCCGAGGACCTAGGAGGAGCCAAACTTCACGCTGAGTATGTGAAATAAGTCTTAGCAATAGGAGGGAATTCAGCATGCTTAGCTTTCAAGAAACTCTCATTTTATCTTAAGTTAATATGACTGAAGCTCCTTCAGTGAAAGGATGCAGCACGGTCCTCCAGGGCTGAAAAACATGCAGTGAAAAAATCCTATTAGGAATGATACATGAATTATTATACAGGTTGGTGGCATTCAGTTGTACAGGTGGGTGTATCATGAGGCTAGATACAACACTTAGAAATGAAGGAAGTGACAGGGCGTTGTAACTTCAGCTTTATGACATGCCACAGGCACTTGCCACTTCCACATGGACAGGAATCTCACCTAAGTGCAGAGGTCAGGATCAGGGCCAAAAGGGGAACCTGTTATTACACTCTTTGCCTTCCTTCTCAGGTGCAGGTTTTTTGTTAGAGCAGTCAAATGGAAGTCAAATTAAGTGATGTTTTGGGGTGGAGCAGGAACTGGACAAATGAGGGTTTGGTTCCCCATTTTCCCATGTGTTTTCTGAACAACTTCAGGCAGGTTCAGTTCCTCTGTGCCTCAGAGGGACCAGCTGTAGCAGAGTGGCACTTGTGTGACAGTCAGCTGGCTCTGCTACACTTAATAAGTTCCTTTCTTTATACCCAGGCTGCAAGTGCTTATTTTGAAATATTTTTAAAAGATCCTTTTCCCTTCATTATATTGTTTGCAACAACATCACCATAAAAATAAATTTGAAGGTCTTTCTTTAATGTAGGCAAGCACAAAGGTCATGGGGAAGAACTTCTCCTTACTGTGGATTTATGTTGGGGTTGGGTTGCACAGCAGTTCCCCTGACTCGCTGCTTCCAGCTCATTCATAGGAGAGCAGAATCACACCATGTTTTCCAGGGAGAGTCAGAGGTTTCCTCCTTTAGTTTGGATTTTCTGTCAGAACTCAGATTTCATTTGTTCAATGCTAATCCATGCTGCACTCTCTGCTAGAGTCAGTGGCTGTACTGACCATTTTGCACCTTCAGAAGAGGAAGCCTATGACTACGTTCGAAATGTCATCTCCACGTTGAGCTACGAGCCCCTGCCAGAGGAGCTGCAGGAGCATGACAGCCCCCTGTACAGCTCGGAGGAGCTCCTGGGCCTGGCACCACAGGATTACAGGTGTACTCTTCCTGTGAAACTGGTACAGTGGCAGAAACACTTGTTTCTTCCTCCTCCCAGTCTGCTCTGCCTGGTAGCTCCAGATTCTCTTGGAGAATCCTGAAGTAGAATCGTAGAATCATAGACTAGTAAAGGTCAGAAGGGACCTTAAAGATCATCTAGATCCAGCCTCCCTGCCATGAGCAGGGTCACCTCCCACCAGACCAGGCTGCACAAGCCCCATCCAACCTGGCCTTGAACACCTCCAGGGAAGGAGCTTCCACAACCTCCCTGGGCAACCTATTCCAGCACCTTCCTTTTGGGGTGGAGCAGGAACTGGACAAATGAGGGTTTGGTTCCCCATTTTCCCATGTGTTTTCTGAACAACTTCAGGCAGGTTCAGTTCCTCTGTGCCTCAGAGGGACCAGCTGTAGCAGAGTGGCACTTGTGTGACAGTCAGCTGGCTCTGCTACACTTAATAAGTTCCTTTCTTTATACCCAGGCTGGAAGTGCTTATTTTGAAATATTTTTAAAAGATCCTTTTCCCTTCATTATATTGTTTGCAACAACATCACCATAAAAATTAATTTGAAGGTCTTTCTTTAATGTAGGCAAGCACAAAGGTCATGGGGAAGAACTTCTCCTTACTGTGGATTTATGTTGGGGTTGGGTTGCACAGCAGTTCCCCTGACTCGCTGCTTCCAGCTCATTCATAGGAGAGCAGAATCACACCATGTTTTCCAGGGAGAGTCAGAGGTTTCCTCCTTTAGTTTGGATTTTCTGTCAGAACTCAGATTTCATTTGTTCAATGCTAATCCATGCTGCACTCTCTGCTAGAGTCAGTGGCTGTACTGACCATTTTGCACCTTCAGAAGAGGAAGCCTATGACTACGTTCGAAATGTCATCTCCACGTTGAGCTACGAGCCCCTGCCAGAGGAGCTGCAGGAGCATGACAGCCCCCTGTACAGCTCGGAGGAGCTCCTGGGCCTGGCACCACAGGATTACAGGTGTACTCTTCCTGTGAAACTGGTACAGTGGCAGAAACACTTGTTTCTTCCTCCTCCCAGTCTGCTCTGCCTGGTAGCTCCAGATTCTCTTGGAGAATCCTGAAGTAGAATCGTAGAATCATAGACTGGTAAAGGTCAGAAGGGACCTTAAAGATCATCTAGATCCAGCCTCCCTGCCATGAGCAGGGTCACCTCCCACCAGACCAGGCTGCACAAGCCCCATCCAACCTGGCCTTGAACACCTCCAGGGAAGGAGCTTCCACAACCTCCCTGGGCAACCTATTCCAGCACCTTCCTACCCTCATGGTGAAGAATTTCTTCCTGATGTCTAACCTAAATCTCCCCTCTCTGAGTTTAAAACCCCTTTGTCCTCTCACTACACACCCTGGTGAAAAGTCCCTGCCCAGCTTTCCTGTAGCCCCTTCAGGCACTGGAAGGCCACTATGAGGACTCCTTGGAGCCTTGTCCTCTCCAGGCTGAACAACCCCAGCTCTCTCTGGTTGCCCAGCTGTCCTCAGTCTGCAACGAAGCAGAACAGCAACAATTCTGTAGAATCATAGACAATATTTAAGCTGAAAACCTGCTAGAGAGAAAATAATTACTGATGATGCCAGTCTGTTCCCATGCACTCTCTGAGATGGGGCCATGTCAGTGTGACTTGTACAGTGTTGGCTGCCTTGAGAATGTCCTGTTTTCCCCCTCCCCTGCCTTCTTCCCCCAGATAATCATGGCTCTATCTTGTAACTGAAGTGGCTAATGAAAATACTGACTGAAAACACAACAAAGCTCAAACTGAACTTGTTTGAGGCTGGGACAGATGCTAGTACATAAGCAGAGACATCCAGAGCTGCCCACACTGTTGTCACTGTGTTGTTCAAGAAGACATTTAGTCTCCAAGGATGTCAATCCAGGATCTTTTCCAGGGGTGAATCCCTACAGTTCAAGGGACTGACTGCAGGAAGCAGTGTAGCTTTGAAGGCAGCTTTTAAACTGTTTGAAGAAAGCAGGAGCAATATGCTGCTGTTTCTTGTGCACACAAACTGCAACTGCACATGCTGGGGTCTTTACACCCTTTTGATGAACATAAACAGCTCTGCTCTGTAACACTGTAGTAATTTTGGAGCAGAACTTTGGCTTGAAATACATGGTTGGTAATCAAACATAGACACTAATTGTTGTTTCATGCATATTGAGTATTTAGTGGAGCATCAAACACAAAAGGGCCTCTATGCTCACGTGGGTTGACTCCTTGCCTTACACAGGTCCCTTTGCTAATTGAGCAGAGTGTCCTTCAGCACAACATTCCTGTTTTCATTTCTGTGCAGATTCTGAGCCGTCTGCTGGATGGAAGCAGATTCCAGGAATTCAAGGCTAATTATGGGACAACGTTAGTAACAGGATTTGGCCACGTGGAAGGGTAAGGCTGTAACATTTCACTATCAAAATGTATGGACATATTTCTCTAAATAGCTTTCATATCACCATCAGGTTTCATGGCATCCTAATAACAATGATCTTGAAGTTCTGAATCAGTCAAGAATTGGAAATAAAACACTTCTGCAAAGGCTGGGCTATCTCTGAGCTCTGAGTTCATCATGGTCCAGGCCAGTAGCAGCAAAGAGAGTGATGACAAATTAATGGATTTCATGACTTTGTGGAATGATTTGTTTATTCCCAGAAATTACTAACCAGACAGTTGGAATATTGACGTGTCAGCAGATTCCTTAAGAAATAAGTAACAGCATCTTTGAAAGTGTTCCTTCCCAAGCCGAGCTGAAGGCTGTCATCGCTTCTCCCCGACATGGGGGTGGGAAAATACCCTTCAGAACACTGTGAGCTACAGATCCTTAACTTCTGGGGTTTAGAAGAGCCAATGTTGATGTGTCTGTTTTGTAGGCACTTGATGGGGATAGTAGCCAGCAACGGGGAGCTGTCTCATGATGCTTCTCTCAAGGGCAGCCACTTCGTGCAGCTCTGCAGTCAGAGGAGCATCCCCATCCTCTTTCTCCAAAATACTGCTCCACCTCCAGCAGAGCCAACAGGCATCTCACAGGTGGGCACTTCTAGTGCAGTGTGCTCAGCTCAAGTAATGCCTTGCTCTTTGGTTTAAGATTACATTTTTGAAAGGATTGTTAGGAAAATATTTAAAAAAAAAAAATGCTCTCAATGGTTTAAACCAAGTTTGTTTGACTTTGTTTTTAACTCTTTTAAGCAGGTCTCTCTAAAATGGTATTGTCCAGCTGGCATGCAAGCTGTAAAACTTGGAATTTGTAGTTCTTTTCACATTGAAATATTGATTCTTCAACAGGAAAAATAGATATTTCTCTTCTAGAAAAGTGAAATACTACAGTATGTTTTGTCCTGGGCTCCAGAGAGCCTCACAGTAAAACCAACATGAGATTGAGCAGAGCCTGTTCCTGCACCCAGTTCCTCCTAGCTCTCACCAGCGCTTGGGACAAAGCCTGGCAGGATGCTGTTGTGTCTGAGCTGGGGTTGCTCAGCACTGCAGGTGTTTGCAGAGGGGTTATAATTGTCTGGCTGGTTGACATTGTTAAAGAAATGCATGATGTTGGTGATAAGTCTTGGTGTTGTGGCAGAAACTGTCACACAGAACTGTGAGGAAAGAAACATTTTAGAACCACAAGTTGGGTGGGAGTGGAGGGAAGCTAGAAGAAAGACTTAAAGGTTCTAAAAATCTTGGTTTTCCTCTCAGGCAGAGGCTCACTCCAGCAGGCTGAAGGCCCAGGCCTCCATGATGGCAGCTGTTGCCTGCGCTGCTGTTCCCAAAATAACCGTCGTCATCGGCGGCTGCTTCGGCAGCGACAGCTACGCCATGGTGAGAGGGCTTGGGACAGGCTGCTGCCCTGGAGCAGGAGTGCACTGCTCTGCATCTTAGCCAGCCAGCTGTTCCTGGGCATTTTGCTTGATCAGCTGTTGTTGGGCACTTAACTCGATGTGTTATTTTAACTACTTCTCAAGCAAGAAACGCACCACAAGCTGTGATGACTGAACGCCTGGTCTGGGAGCCTAGAGCAGGGGCTCAGACACAGCTTAGCTGAAAATGTCCCTGCTTGGAGCCCATCCTGCCTTTCCCTCAGCATGTGCCATGTGTTTTCAGTCACCAGGGAGCACATCTCCCTCAGCTGTGCTACTGTGTCCTGTCCCCCTTGCTGGTAAGGGCAAGAGGGTGCCCTGTTTGCTCAGGGTTAAACATTTTTGGAGGAAAAATGAAATAACAAGAGGGTGATAGCGGAGGCAGCGGGGATGGGGTGCCACAGGGTGTCTGTGCTGATACAGGAGCTGGGTCATTAACACTTCACAAATTAACCTGTATTACATTCTGCCTTGCACTCGGTTGTGTCATCCCACAGCCACCTTTTGGGGATTCATTTCAGTGTGTTTGTGCTTTTCTTTGTAGTGTGGGAGATCGTTCAGTCCAAACTTTCTGTTCCTGTGGCCTAATGCAAGAGTTGCCCTTGTGGATCCAAGACATTTCTCTACAGTCCCACGAGCTGGGGATGGTGACTGTACAGGAGATGAATCAGAGCTAAAACAGCTGAGAGAAAAGTAAGGACATGAGCTCTAAACCCTTGTGGTTACTCTGGGATTTTGTTAGTTAAATTACCTACTTCAGTTCATCCTAGAAATCAACACATCCCAAACAAATAAAGCAAACCTGAATCTATTGAAAAAGATTTTGAATGTGTATGTAATTCCGTGCCTACTCTTAGGATTTTCTCAAGAAAACACAAATGCTTGGCTTAAAAACCCAACAAACAGTCCCAAAGCCATGTGACCTCAAGCTATTCTGCCATGTAAGACCTGCAGGTGATACCTGAATGTGGAGGCTGCTCTGAACTGCAGGATGACAGAAGTGCAGTTGTGTGTTTGCTGGATTCTAATGAGTTTTAACAGTAGTGCTGCACTTTCCCTTGAGATTGAAGTCTTTGCCTTTTTAATCTATGACTCCATTTTACTGGCCTGAGGGGTTTTATTCCATTTTTGTTCTTTAATGCTCTGTCTCCTCCAGGCTAGAGGAAGAAAGCAGTGCCTTTTACTCCTCTGCCAGACTCTGGGATGATGGTGTAATTCTACCTCAAAACACTAGAAAGGTGAGTTGTTTCCTTATGTGTTCTTTGCAGCACATTTTGTCCTTGGATCACAAAAGGATCTTGTGGCAAATGCACAAGCCTGTGACTCACTCAGGATCAGTGGAATGCTGATTCCCTGCTCTCCCACTCCTCCCTCCATTTTCTGTGGCATTTAGCTTTGCAATTCTCATCTTGTCTCTGTTAGTCTGTCCAGAACAATTCTGTTTAATTCAGGTTCCCTTCTGGTTATTTGACTGCAGCATTTCCTCATGGAACGTTTTCATTGACTTTACCACCTGATTCTGTATCCAAATCCTTCTTTTTCAGACTTGCATTATCACCCACATTTTCACTCTTTCAAGTCCAGGCTCTTCCCTGTTCACATTGTTCCCATTCTTTTGTCCTAGGATGTTTCTTTTTTCTACTTCCTCTTCCTGCTTGTAATTTGCAGCTTATATTTGGGGTGCCCCCTTCCTCCTCACCTTTCCATTTCTTTTTTCACTTGGCAGACACCCACTCCATTGGATTAGATTTGAAAGCTGCCATCTTTGCCCTTCCATTTTTTCCTGGTGATGTTGTTTATTAGCCAATCTTAAAACATTCTTTGAACTTCTAGAGCTTGTTTACTTGACAATCACAAATAGAGCCTGCCACCAGTTAATCCTCCTCAAAGTGCTTGTAGTATTTGTGATACTACATAGATGTTAAATATTTTCTGTGGTGTTCATGGGAACTTGGATAATGGGAGAGCACTGGGAAATATTTGCTAGCACCAGAAGCCCAAGGACTGCTCCTCTCTAGGAACTACACATGAAAAGATGTGAGAGTTGGAATGAATCAAAGTTACCTGGGTAATTTTCACCAGCACACCGCAGCTCATGGTTACTCCTTTAGCTGTTTTTTACAATATTCCTTTGCTACTTTATCCCAGTTCTTGCTAATAGATGGAATTTATGTCTAGCTTTACCTGCCCTGACAGCACGTACTCATTCAGACTCTTAATGTTATTTTTTTTTAAAAAAAAGAATAGGCTTTAAAAGACAATGTGTGCTCTAGTACCAGTGGAGCATGTGCAGAGAATTAGGAAAATGCTTACCATGACTCTTGCTTTCCAATAAGGTACACAAGAGGTTTTGGCAAAGGAGGCTGTTGTCTGCACCATGTGATAAAAGTGAAAATCTGAATGGAGAATTCTCTTGTTTTTGAAAAGCAAAAGCAGTGCTGTATTTTCTGTCCCTGTTGTCACAAGACACCAAGAAAGATGAATTTTTAGGAAGAGGTGGATGTGGAAGAGCAGGATGTTCTGCTGATTTTTGATGTATGGTTGGGAATCTTGGGAGAAACAGGTTATATCACAGAATGGATTTTCCTGGGAGTTTTACAGCAAAGTAGCTTCCTGCTGTTCCAGAAGTGATTCTCTTGTCACAACAGTGACTTTAAAATGGTTTGGTGGCCTCTGTGTGCAGTGCAAAGGCTCTGGAATGCTGAGGATGCTTCTTCCTATGCCATACCTGGCATTGACACCCTTTCCCCTCGCTCTTCAGCTGACAAGTGTTTGTTTTAAATGTTCATTCTTTTGCAGAAAATAAGAACAAACATCAAAGAATGAGTGCAGAACTGGGAAGTTTTACTAAGTTTTGTTCCAGAGGCTCATTGCTTGTGTTGTGTTTTTAATCAGGTGATTGCCCAGTGTTTGGAGATCACAGAGCAGCAGAAGTACCAGGTGGTTTCTCCATCTCAGTACCCTGTCATCAGGATGTGACTGCAGCCATTCCCAAGCAATCAGCCTTTCAAATTAGCACTTTGGACTAGAGATCTTTAATGTCAATGATTTTCTAATTCTTTGTTAACATTAAAAATGTTAAACATCACAGACAAACAAGAATCCTGGAGCTTCAGTCTGCTAGCAATAGGTTTGTGTTTTGAAGCCCTGTACTACGTTAGTTGAGCATTTATTTTGTGGAGAGGCAGGGGGGAAGCTCAGTCTGCAGCACACTGAGGAACCACATCCATCCCAAGCCGTAACAATTGCTTGATGTTTTTCATATTCATGTTTTAGTATGAAATCCAGAACTCAAGAAACTGCACGAAATGGGGAAGAGAAGACACATGAGCTGGTAGTGTGGGCAGTTTTCTGCCTTCGGAGAGGGCAAAATGCCTCCTGACACAAAGCTGGGGGCTGCCAGGTCAAATTGCCAAAGCAGCTGTGGAAAGGCTCCACGTGGATTGCTCTGAGGATACTAAAGGAGCAACCAGGGGGGGATTTAAATCCGCAATACTTCAGTATAGGCTAAAAATGGCCTCTTCTCAAGGCAGGTAGCAGAGCAGAGGCTGCTGTTCCTGATGCTGCCACACACAGGCACTGGGATTGCACTGTGCCCTTGCATCCAGCTTTAACTTTGTCCCAGTATTTTGAAGAATCATCACCAAAGCTGCAATGCTGAGTTGGGAACTAGCCCTACAAATGGAAAGTGATGCTGAGGGAATTGGGGCCGTTGGGGTGTCACCTTTGGGTGCTGGCAGAAGCAGGGCAGGTGCTGGGGCCTCGGTCAGGCTCTCTTGAAGAGCCCGTGGAACGTCACGGGGATGATCACCTCCACCTCAGCCCTGGCCACCTCGCTCATGTCCTTGGCGTTGAGGATCAGGAGGTAGGCAGGCTTGGGCCCCGCGCCCGGGCTGATCACGATGCTCAGCACAACCCCTGGTGGGAGAGAAATCAAGGGGCCTGTCCTCTAGCTGTCCTGTGGGGTACCCACAGGAGCAGCACCCACCCACCCGGCATCCCCTGAGCCCCTCGTCTCTGCACCACCCTCAGTGCTGGAGCAGATGAAGGGGCTTGATCTGTTTCTCGGTCTGCTTTGAGTTCTTGCTGTCACCAGCTGGACAGCCTGGGGTGATGAGCCAGTTGCTCCTATAGCTTTTTAAAACTATAAACCAGTGAGAGTTTGCTCTTAAATTCAGCAGACCCAAGACTTGTCCCAGCTTCACCCAGTCCTGATGGAGATGAGGAACCTGGGGAGTAAGCAGGCACCCCTCTCAGGCTGAGTGCTGCCACTTGCCCTCAGAAGCAGGTACAGAGCTGGGGACATGTGGAGAAACCCCTGCAGTGCCTGACATAGGCACAGCCATGTGTCCTCGAGAGGCAAAGCCTGAACTCACTCTGCTCCTCACGAGGAGGATGGGTGAGGAACACTAAGCATGCTTAGTTTAAGAGAGGTTCAGTTCTACAAAGTTCTGCCACCTGGAGTTCTTTAAATATTGCAGCTCCCAATGGAAAAAGGAAATGAAGACAATGACCCTAGGAAATGAGGAACAACAGATTGTTTAAACCCAGAGGTCTTTCTCCTTCTTTGTTTTCCCTCGGTCTTAATGTTCCCACAGAAACTTCTCAAATCAGGATGTCATAGACCAAAATAGAATCAGTCTTACCATCATCTTCCTCCAGGGCATCTGGGTGGGAAACAAAGATTGGCTCAGATGGGTACGAATCTGGCTCCTGCCACACCCAGGTCTCCTTTGTTTTAACATTCAGCTTGCAAAGCTAAAGGGAGGAAAATACCAATTCACATCTCAGAAATATTCATTCTTGTCTTTAAATTAAAAGCTCATGGAAAAGATGGGCCTCACCCACCATTGACACTTACCCTGTCTGGGACAAAGTGGTTCAGCCCCAGCCCGTACGTGTATGTGTAAGGTTTCCCACAGTATTTCTTGTAGTTGATCTGTGGAAATTCAAAGGCTGCAATAAAAAAATAAATATATATATATACACACACAAGCATTAGTGGGAGGCAGAGTGCAGGGGGCACTGGTGTTGCTGCTGGCTGTGCTCTGAGGGCCTCATCTTACCGTGGCGTGGCCCTGAGAAGATGACTTCTGGCTCCAGCCAGATGGTCTCGTCGCTGCGCAGTGTGGCCGGAGCTGTCGTGTAGGGCAGGGTGACCAGGTTCTTGCCCGTGTCAGCCTGAGACAAAGAAAACACCCAAGAGAGATGGAGAAGCAGGTTTCCTTTTGCAGAGATCTAGGCAGTAAAGGCAGCGACGTGCAGCAGAGTCTCATTGAGCTGCAGCAACACTCAGCAACTGCTGCTCCTTCTGTTTTCTGAGTAGGAGAGCAGTGCCAGTGCTTCCTGCTCAAATCATCCCATCTCACCCTCCCTGTGCTCATCAACACATGCAGACCTTTTTGCAGCATATGGGAAATAAAATAGAATCAGAGAATCATAGAATCACAGGATGACTTGGGTTGAAAAGGACCTTAAAGCTCATCCCGTTCCAACCCCCTGCATGGGCAGGGACACCTCCCACCAGCCCAGGCTGCTCCAAGCCCCATCCAACCTGCCCTTCAACACTGCCAGGGATGGGGCAGCCACAGCTTCCCTTGGCAAGGGTCTCACCACCCTCACAGTAAAGAATTTCTTCCTAATGTCTGACCTAAATCTCTCCTCTTCCAGTTTTAACACATTACCCCTTGTCCTCTCATTCCCTACCCTTTTCCAAAGTCTCTCCCCAGTTTTTCTGGAGCCCCTTCAGGCACTGGAAGCTGCTCTAAGGTCTCCCCAGAGCCTTCTTTTCTCCAGGCTGAATACCCCAACTCCCTCAGCCTGCCTTCATTGGAAGATCATTTAAAATAAATACAAAGGTTCTCTGAAGCCCCACACTTTAACCTCCCCCTTCCATTTAAAGGTTAAATTTGAATTAAATGAGGTGAGGCAGAGCACCAGCCCTGCTGAGCCACAAGCCCTGGGAGGAGGGGCAGCCACAGGTGTCCCCAAGCCCTGGTGGCAGCAGGGGTGTGTCTGGTACCTTGTCAATGTTGAGGGGCAGGACGTATCTGCGGGCCTCAGGCTGCGGGGCCTTCTCTGCCTGGCGCTTCACCTCATCCCAGTTCGCTCGCAGGTTGGCCAAGTAGAGGTAGTTGTAAACAAACTCGAACCTGCCCAAGGGGGAGAGCACAGACACACACCTCAGCTGCCAGGGGAAAGGGGTCAAATGCAGCTGGTTTTTTTCCCTGCAAATCAATGGAGCAAGGCTTGGGCGTTGCCATTTTTTGGCTACATTTCTCTGTTCAAAAAGCAGGGTTCAGACCTCAGCCAGGTCCTGTTCACGGTGGCCCCAGGAGCACAGGCAGCAGCAGCCCATGGGCAGCCAATAGCATTTAGAGAGAAAGGCAAACTAAAGATGTAAATAGTATTTTCATTGGAAAATGAGTTTCAAACAGGCTCTCTGCACTTCTGGGTAACTTCCATGCTGTGTAGTCTGCATATGTGAGTATTTAGACGGGTTGGAAGGAGTTGGTGCAAGTGCCAGAGGCAATTCCCACGGGGAAGGGACATGCCAGCACCAGGACTGGTGTGTCTGGTGCTGGGGCTCTGCTGGCCCCACCAGCTCATGCCAGGGTTGGGGTGATGCCACAGGGACCCTTGGCTGCCTCCAGGCTCAGCATCATGAGACTCACCCCTTCCAGGTGCAGAGGTCGACGATCAGAAACCCATTATCCTCATAGGTGTTGATGTGGTGGAAGAGGTTGAAGGCCGAGGTGCGGTACTTGATGTTGAGGAGCCTGCCTTTCTTCTTCTCTGCCACGTGAAGCCAGACCTGCAAAGCCAGCAGCAGCTTGGTGTAGACTCAGGGAAAGGAAGGAGAACCCAATACAATGGACCTCCCACAGCCCAGGGCTGGCTGCCCAGTACAGCCCAGTTTGGTACCACCAGCCACTTACCCCCATGCTTTCATTGGACTCAAAGCAGTCCATGTAGTTGGCTCCCCAAAGGCTCCAGGAGGAGAGGAACTTGAGGAGGTTGATTTTCACTGGCTGTTCCACAAACACGATGTAGTTTGCTGTCAGCCCAAAGCTGTTTGGAAAGGTGCAGGGAGCACGTCAGGCTCCTTCTGGGCAGGTTGGACAAAACCCAGTCAGGGCCTTGTCCTAAGCTCTGAATGCAGCATGCAGCTCATGGTGGCAGATGTCCAGAATAGGAACACACTGATTTTGGTAAACACCTTCCACCCCCCACTGCCCAATTTTAGCTCCTGATCACATGTGAAAACAAGCCCTGCAGACCCACTTCTCTGGGTCCCACAACACCTGCAAGGCTGCACATGTGCCCCCCCACCTTTCTGGGCTAGCAGAAAGGAAAAGGGACTTTGTCCATCAGCACTCCCTGCTGAGGGCAGCCATTCCTGCCACTGTCCCCTTTCCAGCTAAGTGTGGTCAGGCCACCACCCCTGGGATGTTACCTGTGAACGTAGGAGGGCTTGAACCTGTCGCTGCAAGGGAACTGCACCACCACCTCTGACTTGTTCATCGGGTCATCCTTGTCTGAAAGGGACAGTGGGAGGGTTAGGGAGAGCTTCATCCCCACTGTAAACTGAAAGAGGGGAGATCTAGATATTTGGAAGAAGTTTTTTTATACTGAGGGTGGTGAGACACTGGCCCAGGTTGCCCAAAGAGGTGTTAGATGTCCCATCCCTGGAAACATTGAAGGTCAGGTTGGACAAGGCTGGTCTTTCAAGATCCCTCCCAACCTGAACCATGGTATGTTATGACTCTATGATACAATTCTATCTATGACACTTACTCAGCTCATATTTATAACATTAACACAAAGGAAGTTCACAGTAATTGTTTTCAAGATCCCATTTCTGTTACTGAAGAGAGCAAATACAATCTAAAGACTTAAAAAAATTAACTGGATGACAAAACTAATTTGAAAGATTAAAAAAAAAATTATTGATGGGACCAGATTTTCCCTGTTAGCTC